ACCACTCCCTAGACCGCTCGAGCCTCCTGCACTTGACTCGAGCTCGCAATGGCAACAGGGAGCATCGATGAACTCCTTAAGCTAGCCCGTAGGACGAGGCATCGGGTCATCGACGTCTGAAAGGTCCAGAGAAACCCGACGGTGAGCCTGCTCCGAACGGCCGCGTGTTCGGCCACATCGTCAAAATGCAATTATATATAGATATAAGTGAAATTAAAGATAAACTCAATATTGTTGTCTTGCAATTTTAAAGGGCGCACCAATTCCAAAACTATTATTTTAAGTCAACATATAGCTGCTGCTATTCCAACATGACATTTTATATTAACTACTGTAAATTGTTGAAAACAACAATAATAATGTTGTATAAAGTCAAAGGCTAAAGTCATTTTTTTAAAAATAAAATATCTGAACTAGTATTTTAATTCCGTATCATTGTCATTTTATCTTTTTTAACTTTATCGCACACACTTTAGCTGCCCTTCCACGGCTCTGCCTATGGAGAACAGGAGAAGTATACTTCTAACTATGAAAAAAAATGATATTTTAACTTAAAATGATATTTTAAGTTGAAATTCCAGATTTGGTGGGAAACTCTGTGTCTAAGGAAGAAGGCCTGTCACTGGGAAGAAAGAATTTCCTTATCCACCTACATATTGTGGTGGTTATGGAAAACTCGAAATTCTTGGCTCTTTCAAAAATCTAAATTCTCTGAAGTTCTAACTGTCTCTCTTGCAAAGGCATCTTGGTTGGAATTTTATGATATTTGCAACAGCAGCCATTTACCAAAGGACTGCCCTATGGAGAGTAATGTATCTGCAGCTGTCATTGATGGTAAAGGAGTAGGACAACATGAGCTGGTTGTCGGTGCTAATTACCCTTCCTTGAACAAGCTGAAGATGGGGTTTGTTATTCATAGAGGTGATGATTTGCTCCAAAGTTGGTGGACTCATCAAAAATGCTCCCAGGACCCTACAATGGCGACTCTTTCTGCTCTTAGACAAGGTCTACATGTAGCATATTCCAATAAATGGGCTAATGTGGTGTGCAAAATAGAAGATAAAGGGATGGCAAGAGCACTGGCTGCAAATTCTGATTTTCCATCCATGTATAATGCTATTGTTGAGGACATTTATTTTCTTGCAGGTTGCCTTAAGCCTGTTTCTTTTGTAGTGGACAATTGTGTTATTCCGATTGTATGGTCTAAGGCCAATTTGGTAGAAGAGGGAGACATCAATGTGTGATGCACCTCCCCTTTTCCTTCCTTTGTAATTAACCCGTTGGTTAATCGAACAATGTACCTCTTTGAGTTAGTTTAATATATATATTTGATGTTTGAAAAAAAAANGAGATAAAAATGGACATAGGGTGAAGTATACTTCTAACTGAAAAAAAAATGATATTTTAAGTTGACATAAAATTGACATAGGGTGTTAATAGAATGACACCGTAAAAAATTGTTATATTCAAATGATAATATATTTCAATAGAAATTTATATAGAAGTAATAGCATTAGAATAATTATTGAAATTCTCTTGAAATATATTTTCGTTGGAATTTTTCGTTGAAATTTCATCATTTGCTTGTAGTGTGACGTTTAAGAACATGTAATATGTAAAACAATACAGCAACTGCATTATGTTAATTGAATGTCGTGTATTGTGTTCATTATGCTGTTATTTTTACTCTTCTAATAAATTTGTGTTCTTTCATGTGTCATAATTTAAAATACAATACAAACAAAAGTGTGACATTTTATCTTATAAGTACATTTTTCTAATTGTTGGCTCCTTTATGAAGTCAACCACCAATGTTTTGGTGCCACGTAGGCCATGTGAAGTTAATTATTTTTTCACATGACCTACGTGGCACCATAACATTGATGGTTGGCTCCATAAAGGAGCCAACCATTGGCTCCATAACATTTTTTTTTTTTTTTTATAACCATTAGACAGTGTAACATAAATATTTAGATTATGCGTGTACTTTGAACTGATATTTTATAGTATTCAACCCTATACCCTCTGCAGTATAGCCTTCGAGTAAACAATTAAAGTAAAAAACTATCATGCCACTCATGTTGTTTGAGGAAAGATTCTGGGAAGATATGTTCATCATCTGCCCATCATTTCCTTTTTTAACATAAATTATGTAAAAAAATTACATTTAGTTTAAAAAAGTGAAATGGAGGTAATAAAAATGGAAAATTGTACGTATAAAATAATTGCATTTAAAAAAGGTAAATCAATTCATGTATGTGTATCTATTGATCAAGCTTTTATTTATAATATCTTTAGCATACAAGATTGTCTGCATAAAGAACATATTGGTCAAGCAGAAAATAATATATTGAAAAGCAATAGTTATGTTATAATTAAATAATTGTGATATGTTTTCTCTTTGTATATCACAAGAGGAAGCACCAAGAAAATAATTTAGGTGACTGTCGAATCGCAGGTTCGTAGTACGAGATTGGCCGCAGGGCGGACACGTATTTAAAGCAACGATAGGATGGGGCTTAATTATAAATTAATATCCATTAAATGAATTTTATTTTAATGTTTAATGGAAAATATCAATCCGATTTTAAACTAGCAAACACTATATTGGAGCCGCAAAAATTTATTTTATACCTAATTCACTAATGTCATTCATTTATGCGATTGTATATAATAACAATAAAAATAATAATATATTTCATTTTATCCAAAATGAAACGATTTTTTTTTAAAAAATTATCATTCATCTCGTTTCATTTTTTCCTTACAAATCTTACTAATATGAATAAAATATCATTATCATTATGTGTTTTCTGATAAAAAAAATAGTATTTATCTACACATATTTTAATTATCAATTAATATCAATTAATGTTTTACTATTATTAAATTTTATTAATTCTAATTATTATATTTTTATTTTATATAACTTCATATTTATCTCATTGTTTAAAAGTTAATGTTATATCCAATTTTACCCTATGAAAACAATAGTAATTGAAGAGGGTAGATAAAGAAAAGACATAGGTCAAGGTTTTTCTCATAAAGTGTAATTAGTAATCAATATATGTTAACGGTCGACCACCAACAATTACAAAAAGTATGTTTACAGTGGTTTAATCGGGTGTTACTAAATATTATTCTTTCTTATATCAAGAAATAGATATATAAAATAAAATTAAATTTATATTGATATAAACGTATTAGTGTGATAATATATTAATCAATTTACAAGCTAGCTCGACTCAAATTTAACGTACTAAAAAACAACACTAGTTAAAAGAGATATAAAATGAATGATTCAATCTTATTATTTTTTGGAGGTCCTAGAAGAGAAACTCATTTAACATCTATGTCCCGTACATTGCATGGACTATGTTCTATTATTGTTGGCAATTAATAAGGGTGTGTTTGTTAAAGGAATAATTTGAGTGAATTAACTCAAAGTGATTTTTTTTGAGTTAATTAGGGTTAATTAAGAAAAAAATGGTGTAGTTAGTTGTTAGTGGGATTTTGAGTTTATATTAAAATAATATTAAAAATAAAATAATTAAAATTGGTTTGATGTAAAAGTAGAAGATATATGATATGATGTGATGGTTAGTTAAAATTATGTGAGCGGATGAACCGTGAATTAAAGTTGATGTAAAAATAATTGATTGTTATTATTTAATGATTGATTGTTATTATTTAATTATATTAATTAATAATATTGAGAATAATAGGTTTGAATTAAAGTTGAATCTATCTATACTTATATAATAAGAATTAACATTTATCCAAAATAGTAGGTCAAATTATGGTCAATGTCGGATTTGCATTAAATATTTTCCAAAACTGGTAAGTTTTTGTCATTTTCACACTTCCCATTTATTATGTCATTTTCACACATCTAATTAATTCATTAATTACGACATAATTATCATAAATCATTTCATCTGAGCTTTTATCGTTAAAATGTATAACGATCTGTTATGACCTTATCCCATTGATATTTTCATGAAGCGTGCGTTCTATTTTTTGGTAACCACTCTATATCAATAACCAGATATTTGATTAATGATAGCACACGTCTTTATTTCAAGGAGCGGATATTATTTGACCTTTAATTAATCTGAACTGATTGCCTTGACTTTTCAATTTTTAAAAACTCTTTTTTTAAATATTTCGACTTAAGATTCAGATTTCATTATACAAGTCATCGAATTGTTTGAATGAAAATGAATGAAAAGAACACCAAAAACAGGTAGCCTTATTCATATAACCAATCCTAAAATATTAGTTTGTTCACCAAAAAGAGACAAATCCTAGAAATCCTAAAATATTAGTTTGTTCACCAATCCTAAAATATTAGTTTGTTCACAAAAAATATTAGTTTTTGAAAATATTAGTTTGTGATAATGAGGAGTTACCACATAATCAAACTCATAATATTGTGTACAATGATGTTTTTAATAATATATGATTGTTACCGAACTTTGTATGATTCAACAATATTCCTATGTATTTTAATAATTTTAATTTCGATCCTAATGTATGTGAAGTTATATTATTCTTCCAAATTTTAAATCTCGTGCATCGCACCGGTTACTTAGTAGTTAAATTTTAAATAGAATTAATTTGATTCGAGTATATTCTTTAACAAACACACCCTAAAAGTAACCGAGCCGTAAATTATCGGCTGTAAAGTGACAGTGAGGCCGAGTAGAGTGGTAAAATCTATCCGACGACGCGTGCTTCGTTTTGGTTCACTCGTTCCTGGAAGCCGCCTTTTTGCTTCACTCATTTTCACTGAAAAAAATATAATTTAGCCGCAACTTACATATATATACCCCCAAACACGCTCTTCACACCAAACCAAACACAACAATATAATAATAACAAACATATTCACACACGTTTCTCATTCTCTCTCATCTCCTTCCCTGTGGCTGGCCACACGCCGTCCACATTTTCTCTCTCCTCCAAAATCAGGATAAGCTTGCTATTTCTTCTCTGCTATGATAATAGATTATCTTCTTCCCACGTCCTCACAGCCTCCTGCGAACATGAATTATATCTGGCCGGCCGCCGTTCCTGCCGCGACGGATGTCGGAGCTTCCATGGCCGACGCCTTCATTTCGTCGTCCGCTTCCGATCTAGCCTCCCTCTGGCCCTCCTCCGCCGCCTCCGGTGACCACCACCAGACGCAGCCGACATTTCTCAGCCAGGAAACCCTCCAGCGGCGCCTCCTCGCGTTGATCGAGGGCGCCCGCGAGAGCTGGACCTACGCCATCTTTTGGCAGTCCTCCGCCGTTGACTACGGCGGGCCCGCGCTGTTGGGCTGGGGAGACGGCTACTACAAGGGCGAGGAGAATAGATCTGGACGCAGAAGGGCGTCGTCCCCCTCTGAGCAGGAGCACAGGAAGCAGGTGCTCCGGGAGTTGAATTCCCTGGTCTCCGGCTCTCATCCCGCCGCCGGATCCGATGACTCCGTCGACGAGGAGGTCACCGACACCGAGTGGTTCTTCCTCATATCCATGACGCAGTCGTTCGTGAGCGGGTCGGGTCTCCCGGGCCAGGCCCTCTGTTCCTCCTCCCCTGTTTGGATCGCCGGGCCGGAGAGGCTCGCCGCCTCCCACTGCGAGCGGGCCCGCCAGGCACAGGGCTACGGGCTTCAGACCATCGTCTGCTTACCTTCCCCCAACGGCGTCGTCGAGCTTGGCTCCACCGATTTGATTCTCCAGAGCGCGGATCTGATGAACAAAGTCAGTGTCCTGTTCAATTTCAACGGGCCGCTAATGGGTTCAAGCCCTGATTCGGGCTCGTTACCCTTAGCCCACAGTGACCCCGCCGCCCTATGGCTTACAGAGCCCTCTTCCTCCGGCATCCAGAACAACTCCGTGAACAACAACAACAACAACAAAAACATTACTAATTCAGTTGCGACTACCAATTTCACTACCAACTTAGTCGAAATTTCCCACGAATTCCCCAGTAAGGAATTGAACTTCTCCGATTTCGGGCCGCCCTACGTAGGATGTAGCAGCAGCAGCACGAAAAACAACAACTGCAAAACCGAGATATTGGATTTTGGGCAACAAGACAAGAAAACCCGGTCCCCCACAAGCAACGACGAGGCCATGCTCTCGTTCGACTCGTCTGCCGTCATCAACAACATCCCGACCCTAAAGACACCAGCCACCACCGAGTCAGAGCACTCTGACCTCGATCCCAAGGCAGAGGCCGCCGACAGCACCAGCCGAGCAGACAAACATCAGCAGCCTCACCGACCCAGGAAGCGTGGCCGGAAGCCCGCCAACGGTCGAGAGGAGCCTCTGAACCACGTGGAGGCCGAGCGACAGAGGAGAGAGAAACTGAACCAGAAATTCTACGCCCTCCGTGCCGTTGTCCCCAACGTGTCGAAAATGGACAAGGCTTCCCTCCTCGGAGACGCCATAGCCTACATCGAGGAGCTCCGGTCTCAGGTGCGGATGGTTGAGTCCGACAGGGACGAGCTCAGGTGCAGGCTCGAGTCGCTCGTTGGGAAGGAGGCTCCACAGGGGGGAGGTGGCGGTGGGGCCCACCATGCTGACGTGGACGTGAGGATTATTGGTCGGGATGCGATGGTTCGGGTGCAGTGTGGGAAGAGGAACCACCCGGCGGCGAGGCTGATGGCGGCGCTGAGGGAGCTGGAGCTCGACGTGCACCACGCGAGTGTCTCGGTTGTGAACGAGCTGATGATTCAGCAGGCGACTGTGAAGATGGAAGGGAGGCTGTACACTCAGGACCGGCTAAGGGCGGCTTTGGTGTCGAAAATAGCCGAGGCCTAACTCGATAGATTTTTTTTATTTTTTATTTTAATAAAATGTGGAAAAGTCCGAGGTGTCGGGTTAGCTTTAAGACGCCCGCGCTGTGGCCGGTTTTTATATCGGCTCGGCTCGACTCGACTCGATTGAGTATTTTAGTCAAACGCATCTGACAAAAATGGTGCGTGAAAATTTGTGTGAGCAGAGGCCTCAGAAGGAACATTTGGGATTTGTATTGTTAGTAATATTGTTAAATGTGATCGGAATTGATGAGACGAGATTCTGTTATTAATGTGTGTTATCTATTTGCTTTCCTTATGGTGGAATCCTGAGTTGAGTTTCCTTTCAGTAGAACAATACATGTGTAACAGTTTTTTAATTTAGTTTTAGGAAAATTGAGATTCTCATCCGTAGTTGATTTAATATGGCTTTAGCTGAAATGGAATGGAACGATTTCTATATTTTAAAGGGCATCCGCATTGGTCATTTTCTTGGCCCATCTAAAATGAGGGGGACATTAAATTGAATGCAATGCATCCATTTGACGTGGTCGCTCCTCATTCATTCATTCCATTGAATGGGGTCATTGGTGACTTTTTTTAATTTTTTTAATATTTACTTCAGTATTTAAGAATATATAATATAAAAATAATATTGAAATGAGTTACATATATTTGCATTTAAATAATTCAACCAAGTGCAGAGGCATAAAGAAGTCTATACGGGATTCATCCCGGGCGGATGTACAAAATGTGCACATACATTATTTGATATAAATTAAGTATAAGTTCTCTCTTAATATTTAGCCCGTATGAATTAATTAGCAAATTAAAGGAAACAATAAAATTATCAAATCCATTCAAATCCTTTTATTAGTCTCATATTTATTAATTTGGGAGTTTTTTTATTCAGTTTTTTAAATATTTTTTTTAAGTCTTATATCTTGTTGATAATGAGCTATTGAACAAATTAAGTTGATTTTTCGTTTCATTATTATTATTATTATTATTATTATTATTATTATTATTAGTAGTAGTAGTAATATGTTTTCTTGTTATCAATAATGATGTTTAAGCGGTTCATAATAAATCCTAAATTTTGCAAATTGATTGTTGATTTTTTTTTTCTTCTACTTTGCATTTCATGGAGAATAATTAAATTATATTATTTTTCTTTCTATCACCTAGTTCTATTTTTTATTATTTTATAATTTTTGGGTGTAGGTCTTATCTGCTTGTTTGCTAACTGAGTGGTAGATTTGACAATTGGATTTAAATCGAGAACGGAGACACATATTTATAAACAACAATATGATTAATCCATAAGCTAGTGCTAGTCCAAAGTATTTTTAATTATTTATACTTTTAAAGATTTTTTCTAAACAACTGAAATATGTTCTTTCCTTTCAAGATATGTATGGAGCGAAATTTCTAATAGATTTATGATTATCTATATTAAGAGCTAGCGTGATTCTAATGCTCTATAAAAAAAAAAAAAAATTGTACTTTAAGCTCATGTTTGTTTGGTGGGATTAGGCAGGATATCCCATCTAATCCAGGCCTAATCCTACGTTTGGTTCATGGAATTAAAGCCCGCAAGAATCCCATCGGTCCGGTATAAAAACAGTTTAATCCCTCCTACATGGGATAAATTAATCCCAGGGAATAGGTGGGATTATTCCTATCCCATTGCCTTAAATTTCTATTTTACCCCCACTTTAATAATTTTTGGACTGTTTTAACCTTCCATGTAATACAAATTACAACTAGACCTATAATCAGTTTTCCCATTAATCATCTCACGTCGCGAACAGAAATCAAAAACTGCCCTAGCCCGAAGAAGAGAAACCGCACTCCAGCTGTCATCTCCATCGGCAACGATCGATAAGGAGTAATTATCTTCCGTTGTCCACTATTAAATGAAGAACACAGCTGCGAATGAGAGTTTATGAGGAGATTGGGGAAAAATCCAATTTTGTTAAGCTGCGAATGAGAGTTTATGAGGAGATTGGGGAAAAATCCAATTTTGTTAACCGATTTATTCATATGGGTAATAAAGTAATTTACTGATTATATTTCATATAGACACTTTTTTTTCTTTTTTAAACATAAAGTTATCCTAAGTCTTATCCTATATAACAAACATAGAATAATATTAGTCCAAACAGTACAATCCTGTACTATGGCATTATTATAGTCCAATCCCATCCCAACAAGCAAACACGCACTAAGGATATTCTATACAAATCATTTTACTCTTACTCGAAAAATATTTAACGTGATTATAAAAATTGAATAATAAATTTACAACTTGTACTAGTTTATTTTATATACTTAATTGAGCACGTTTTTACTTTTTAGTAATGTTTGTATCAACTATCAAGAGGATTGTCTGGCGCCCACACTAGACTACTTTTATTGGTGACCCCAAAGAGTGGGTCACCGATTAAAAACTCAAAAAAAAAAAAAAAATAATAAAAAAGAAAAGCAATAGGTTGTGCAACCGAGGTCACAATGTGACCCAAGGTTGTAACCGGTTGCTTTTTAAAAGTGGACACTTGTGCCTCTTTTATTGGTCAAATATATATTTTTTTGTTTTAAAAAAATAAAAAATAAATACTAAAATTTATATTTTTTTATTCTCTACAAATAGAGACCACACATGATATATTTTGGAACACAATTGTATTTTTTAGATAAATTAAAATAAAATAAATATTTAGGTTGAATTGGATTGGGGATAAAGATAAATTTGATTGTAAGGTTGAGTTGTATAGATGAAGGAGAGAGAAATAATTTTTAATTATTAGATTGGGTTGGGTTGGGGATAAAGATAGTCTTAAATTTGGAGCATTCCAAATGTTCTATATAACCTTTCAATTTTCACTACTTTGGGACCACCCTATCATGATTGGCAGTGCCCAAGGCGTTACAATTATATTGCATTTTTCTTAAAACCACAAAATCAAATAAATGTTCTATATATGTGAAGGGCAATTACATTGTGTGCTTCAATTTATGAAAGCAATTTTTTTATTTTCTCTGGTCACACATCAAAATATTTGTCCATCTTATTTGGGGCCAACACATATTTATTTGGATTTTCTTTCGGTACACCGTGAGCTTTATATTTGGAAACTCCAACTTATCTTTTACTCCATATTTACAAATAAGTGATATTTTCAAAATTAGAATAATCAGAATTCTGTTTTGCCTATTATTTTTCTCATGTCAAATGACTTTAAATTATCAAAAACTCTTGTGTGAGCCAACATAACCGTTAGACTGGTTCACCAGTCATATATTTTTAATAATAATATATATTTATAATATGAAATATCATATTTTTGTTTATATTGTTTTATCATACATGACATTTCAATTAAAAGCATGCATTTATGATTAAACAATATATAGACTGCTTAACAGTAGTCATGCTGTTAAATTATGATTTAATATATTATTTTTTAATTATTATTCTATTTCTTTCTATATTTCAATTATTTTCTCTAACTACTCTCTTTTCATTCTTTAATTATTTTCTCAATTTTTATAACCAAAATTGTTCTCTAGCCCACATAAACCATTTTGTCTATTTTATTTGGGGCCAACATTTATTTATTTGGATTTTCTTTCAGTACAACGTGAGGTTTTATATGTGAAGGTCAACTTATTTTTTAATATGTTTTCAAATGTATGTATATAAAAAATGGGACTATACCACCCCGAGGACCCAACACAAATACATTATACTCAGATATTCAATTAAAAAATTGGTTTTATACCTATATTTTCAGTTCCATTTTTCTTGAATGAAAGACTGATAAAATTTTTAGAATTATTTTAAGGTATATGTGAAACTAATTCTAACCATTATACGTGGATAAATATAAGTTTTCAAAAAAAATGAGTTTAAATAACTCCAAATTGTTAGGTTCGCAAAATGTTTGTATTTTGACTAATGTTTGTGTAAAAAAAATTGATTTTGTACCGATTTTATGATTTCATTTTTTGTAAGTGGAAGACTTAGTAAATTCTCAAAACCATTTTAAGGTGAATGAGAAATTAATTCTAAGTTGTATATGTGAGAAATGCAAGGTTGAAGCAATGAGTTTAAGTAGCTCAAATTATTGGAGTTAGGATAATCCAAACGAGACCGGATCATGCAGCTTGCATATTAAAACTAAGGTCGCAACCCTTGGTGACTATAAGGTGTCTTTTGGCCTCTAGATGCGTCCATTCTCGTTCGGTTACGTCCCAACAGGTGTGTTTTGACACTTAAACCTTTTGGGGGTGTGTTCCTACATCTATATATACCCACATACATGAAACCATTCACAACTTGAAAAGTGAAGAGCTCTTGCATTACATTTTCAAAGTTCATAAAGCATATTGTATTCTTTGATTTTTTTCGTTGAGTGTTCAGAGTTTCAAACAATAGTATTGTTCGCCAAAGGCTTGTATATTTGAAGTACCGTTATATACAAGTCGAAAGTCGTTGTATCTTGGAGACGTTTGCCGTTAATCATGGGTATTTTACGAGGTAATTTCGTCTTAAGGAGAATGTAAGTATTACGTGCCTCGACTTTGATTTTTGTTTCGTTTTCTTCATTGTCTTTAAGCCGTCTTTTTGATATTCACAAAGTCACAAACCACATAAAATTCATCCTTAAGACGAAATTTAGATGGAATTGAAGGAAACCAAACATCTTCTTCAAGTGCTCGATCGACCGCTATATCGGCTACTAATCCATTTACCCCAATTATAGCCGCTTCCGTTTAAGGCGAGAGACCGCCGAAGTTCAATGGCTCTTATTTCAAGAGGTGACGGCAAAAGATGTTTTACTACCTCACAACTCTCTCTATCTCTCGTTTACTTTCGGAAGACCCTTTGATCATCCCGGAAAGTGTACCGACGTCCAAAAGTGTACGACCTTGGATGTTTGGCATCATAATGATTTTTTGTGTAGAAATCTCATACTAAACGAACTAGATGACACACTATAGTTTACTTTCGGAAGACCC